CGACGTTTCATGTTAGGTGAATTTCACAGAGATTGCTGTAAATGAAACCGCTTTTCCGAGTTGTCACCACAGCGAGCGTTTTGATGCTATGTAAAAAATGATAATTTTTCGAGGATTTTTCGATGATTTTGAAGGTTTTGCTTCAAAAAAGAAAATCAAACAAAACCTAGGTACTCATCACAAAATCAGGAAAAACTATGAAAATCGACGATTTTTGCAAGTTTTCTTGTTTTTTTCAAGCAAAACGATATTTTTTTGATGATTTGTTGATGATTTCCTAGGTTTTGTTTGATTTTCTCTTTTGAAGCAAAACATTCAAAAATCATCGAAAAATCATCAAAAAATCATCAAAAAATCATCGTTTTGCTTGAAAAACAATGAAACTCCAAGATTTTGGCAAGTTTTCTTGTTTTTTTCAAGCAAAACGATTATTTTTCGATTATTTTTTGATGATTTTTCGATGATTTTTGACAGTTTTGCTTCAAAAGAGAAAATCAAACAAAACCTAGGAAATCATCAAAAAATAAACAAAAAATCATCAAAAAATCATCGTTTTGCTTGAAAAACAATGAAAATCCAAGATTTTGGCAAGTTTTCTTAGTTTTTTTCAAGCAAAACGATGATTTTTTGATGATTTTTCGATGATTTTTGAAGGTTTTGCTTCAAAAGAGAAAATCAAACAAAACCTAGGAAATCACCAAAAAAAATAACAAACAATCATCAAAAAATCATTGTTTTGCTTGAGAAAACATGAAAATCCAAGATTTTGGCAAGTTTTCTCGGTTTGTTCAAGAAAAACGATGATTTTTTGATAATTTTTTGATGTTTTTTTAATGATTTCCTAGGTTTTGTTTGATTTTCTCTTTTGAAGCAAAACCTTCAAAAATCATCGAAAAATCATCAAAAAATCATCGAAAAATCATTGTTTTGCTTGAAAAACAATGAAAATCTAAGATTTTGGCAAGTTTTCTTGTTTTTTTCAAGCAACACGATGATTTTGTGATGATTTTTTGATGATTTCCTAGGTTTTATTTGATTTTCTCTTTTGAAGCAAAACCTTCAAAAATCATCGAAAAATCATCAAAAAATCATCGTTTTGCTTGAAAAAAACTAAGAAAACTTGCCAAAATCTTGGATTTTCATGGTTTTTCAAGCAAAACGATGATTTTTTGATTTTTTGTTTATTTTTTGATGATTTCCTAGGTTTTGTTTGATTTTCTCTTTTGAAGCAAAACTTTCAAAAATCATCGAAAAATCATCAAAAAATAATCAAAAAATCAGCGTTTTGCTTGAAAAAAAACAAGAAAACTTGCCAAAATCTTGGATTTTCATCGTTTTTCGAGCAAAACGATGATTTTTTGATGATTTTTTGATGATTTCCTAGGTTTTGTTTGATTTTCTCTTTTGAAGCAAAACCTTCAAAAATCGTCGAAAAATCATCCAAAAATAATCAAAAAATCATCGTTTTGTTTGATTAAAACAAGAAAACTTGCCAAAATCTTGGATTTTCATAGTTTTTCAAGCAAAACAATGTTTTTTTGATTATTTTTTGATGATTTTTTGATGATTTCCTAGGTTTTGTTTGATTTTCTCTTTTGAAGCAAAACCTTCAAAAATCATCAAAAAATCATCGAAAAATAATCGTTTTGTTTGATTAAAACAAGAAAACTTGCCAAAATCTTGGATTTTCATTGTTTTTCAAGCAAAACGATGATTTTTTGATGATTTTTTGATGATTTCTCAGGTTTTGTTTGATTTTCTCTTTTGAAGCAAAACCTTCAAAAATCATCGAAAAATCATCGAAAAATTATATTTTTTTTAGCATTGTTTTTTTCATTCGGTTATAAATTATCAGTTTTTTATCGTTGTTTTTATCATTCTGTTTGTCCTCTCAGGACACCAGCCTCCATCCCACGAAATTTCTTTGTCAGCAAATCATCCCGGCAAACGTGCTGAAGGTGACTCTCCCAAGGTTTGAACAGCGCAAGGCTGCCATGTACATGGACTTTGGGCACATGATGCCAAGACATCTAGAATCTAGAATCTAGATCTAATTGATTCTGCTTTGGAGGTTGCCTTGCCCCATGGCCATATGTAGGGGTATTGAGGTTTTGAGGTTTTAACCAAAACCTGGATGGACTTAGTACTTGGTAAGCTCGTATGGCTATGTGATACTAAAAATCAAATGATGATAATTCTGGAAAGCTCAAATGATAAAAAACATGATAATCCTGAAACGCTCATATGATTAAAACATGATAATTCTTGAGCTGGGCAAGGATAAAAAAACAATAATTTTGGAAACCTTAAAGAACAACAAATGATAATTGTTCTCAAACAGATGATGTTTTTTTGATAATTTTGAGGAAGCCAATATGATAAAAAAATGATAAAATAACTGTTTTTCAATTTCCAGCCCATGGCTGGCCACGCAAGTCATAAAAGTAATGAAAAACTAGCTGAAAACTTTGAAAACAGCAGCAAAACAGCTAGTTCCCTTCATTTTGAAATGGTTGGAAGCAGAAAATCCCTGGATTCACATTTTTTTCAGAAAATTTTCCAAAAAAAATCATTTTTTTTTCAATTTTTTCAGTGTTTTTCTTTGAAAACTTTCTGAAAAATGTCTGAAAAAAATCTGAAATTCGTCAGAATTCGAGAAAAGCAACGCAAAAAGTTTGAAAATAGCAGCAAAACAGCTAGTTTTCCTCCACTTTTGGTACATGGGAATTGCTAAAAGTAATGAAAAACTAGCTGAAAACTTTGCAAGCAGCAGCAAAACAGCTATTTTCCCTCATTTTGAAATGGTTGGAAGCAGAAAATCTCTGGATTCACAAAATTTTCGGGAAATTTTCATTTTTTTCAGATTTTTTTGATTTTTTCAGAAATTTTTGAAATTCTAAAAAAAAATGAAAAATTTCTGAAATTCGTCAAAATTCGAGAAAAGCAACGCAAAAAGATTGAAAACATCAGCAAAACAGATAGTTTGCATTCATTTTTGAATAGCTGGCAGCAGAAAATCTCTGGACTGACAATTTTTTCAGAAATTTTTCAGAAATTTGATTCAGATGTTTTTCAGAAAATTTTCAGATTTTTTCAGAAATTTCTGAAAAAAACAACTGAACAAAAAAATGAAGATTTTCTGAAAAAAATCTGAAAAAATCTGAAAAATTGAAAAAATCTGAAAAAAATGAAAAAAATGAAAAAAACTGAAAACATCTGAAAAAAAAATCTGAAAAAAAACTGAAAAAATCGGAAACTCGTCAAAATTCGAGAAAAGCAACGCAAAAAGTTTGAAAATAGCAGCAAAACAGCTAGTTTTCCTCCACTTTTTGGTACCTGGGAATTGCTAAAAGTAATGAAAACTAGCTGAAAACTTTGAAAACAGCAGCAAAACAGCTATTTTCCTTCATTTTGAAATGGTTGGAAGTAGAAAATCTCTGGATTCACAAAATTTTCAGAAAATTTTCAATTTTTTCAGATGTTTTGTTTTAGATTTTTTCAGATATTTTTCACAAATTTGATTCAGATTTTTTTCAGAAAATTTTCAGATTTTTTTCAGAAATTTCTGAAAAAAACTGAACGAAAAATTGAAAATTTCCTGAAAAAAATAAAAAAATCTGAGAAAAATCTGAGAAAAATCTGAAAAAAGTCTGAAAAAAAGTCTGAAAAAAAACTGAAAAAATCTGAAAAAAATCTGAAAAAATGAAAAAATCTTACAAAAAATTGAAAAAATCTGAAAAAAATCTGAAAAAATCTAAAAAAAATCAAAAAAAAATCTGAAACTCGTCAAAATTCGAGAAAAGCAACGCAAAAAGTTTGAAAATAGCAGCAAAACAGCTAGTTTTCCTCCACTTTTGGTACATGGGAATTGCTAAAAGTAATGAAAAACTAGCTGAAAACTTTGAAAACAGCAGCAAAACAGCTAGTTTTCATTCATTTTTGAATGGCTGGCAGCAGAAAATGTCTGAATTCACATGTTTTTCAGTTTTTTTTTTCAGAAATTTGATTCAGAAAAATTTGCAGAAAAAAAATCAAAACTTTGATTTATACAACCTTACTAGACTTGAAACTCTCAAGAATAGTCACTAATAGTCACTAATAGTGTGCATGTGCATGTGGTAAATCAAAAGCAATTCTCAATCGTGTCGTAACTTGCTCAGGTCTATGCTGATGGGTCAAGTGTGGCCAAGCGGCCAACTGAAGTATCCTATGTTTGGCTGCCAGAGATTGGACGAGGATTCTATGGGCCTCCAATTGCTGGGCCCTCAGCAGCAGCAAGTGTGTCCATGTCACTGAGCTCAAGAGTGCTAAGCAAAAGCTACTGCTGGATGAAAGTCGTTTGTGGGATCAGTCCGATTTTTGCAGCACAGCTACAGGCTCATGCGCAAACAGAGAAAGAATCAACAGTCAAAACAGCAGTTCGTTTTATGACGCCACATGTTTGCCAGACATGCCAACATCCTATCGGAAAATTTTGTTCACAATCTTCCACATTACATTCATCTGTATGTTGTCAAAAAAGTAACGTGGCCACATTTTTCTGGATATGTGTCCGGAAAACATGGAATCATTGTCGGACGTCACGATGGAGTCCTACACTGCCAGTGGTGAAGCACGGTGGCACAGCTGGCATTCAAATTCAAGCAGGTGCAGTACTGAACCTTGCAAGGAGGGTAGTTTTCATAGTCGGTCGTTTTCTGGGCAGAGTAGCTCAAATAATAACTATTAAGCCTTACTTAGGTTATTGTTCAAAATGTTCCTTGACACATGAAAAAGTTCGCACTATTGATTTCACATGTGCACCAGGACATCCAGGAAGACAAATCCATGCTCGCAAAGAGCGGGCGCGTGATTCAGCTGGCATGGCGCAAGATGTGCAGTATTCTTGATCATGCAAGCCTCCAGGCACGTATGATATTATCTTTTCAGTTTCAGTTTTGTCTTGGGCCAAGCCCAAAGAAACATCACTGTTGGTCTTTAGAAGCCCCTGACAGGCATCAATGCTGTTCACCACCAGGAGGGTTAGCAGCTCATGCACCGGAGCAATGACATCAGATATGGCTTTGTCGGCAATTGAAAAGACAGTCAATAATTCTGAACAGTTCAAAAGCGAGGTGGAATTCAATCTTGTGTCTGTTTATGCATCTCGTTTATGTTTTGATGTTTTGCTGCCTACTTTCAGAAGGCTTAATACATGCTAATAAGACTTATTTAGGGATGCAAATGCCAGGAAAGCAATGTTTTATGTGGATTCTGCGAAACTGAGGAAACGAACAAGACCTGCCAGCAGGTCATTCGGGACAACTTGCATTGGTGCAACATGGTGCTTTCTCGCACCATGCAGCCATGTATGTTTGAAGAAGTGGAAGGACGTGTCCCTAAAGACGCAATATCTTCCGACGACGACTTCATGACGATGTTCAACAAAGTGAATCAATCGAGACTGAAGAGCCGCCAATGGTGCATACATCACAAGCGATTTTGTCCCGTTCTGGGCGATGATGCGGCAGTAGATTACAACTGTGGAGGTTTGCCATGCTGGGACTTCAGTATGGCGGGTCTTCGCCGACAAGAACAAGGGGAGACCCGAAAGGTATTCATAGCATATGCTGCCTACCACTGCTCGCAGCGCACACCTCTCTTGCTGATTGAAAATGTGAAGGCCTGTGTATATTTTAATTTTTCAAACGGGTATGTGCACGCAAAGTGTTAAATATCAGTTCAAACATTATTCAACTCCCATGCAGCGTTCTGTGAACAGGTTCAAAAATAATCCAAACATTCTGCAGCGCAGGGGTTGCGACTTGAAATGATCAAGTGGCTCTTTTGCTTGCACTACAAGATTTATATTTTGGTCTGTGGGGTGGAGGACCAAGGCCATGATGGAGCCACAAGGGATCGGATCTGGATTATTCTTGCCCACCGAGAACGTACAAAGATGCTTTTTGACCCCATTGAGCTCTACAAGGAAGTTTGCCAGAGCATTCGTACCTATGTTTGCACGCGGCCTTCAGACTACAGTGTCGCTCCAGCAATTGAAATTCAAAATGAAGCCTTGCACATGGCAACAGTGAGAGAAAAGACTTTGACGGTGACTGAGCTGCATTCAAAGAAAATACGAACTGACTTGGACCAAGGTATCGCCAAAGGTATAGGAGTGCAAAATAACCCTTAATAAGCACTATTCAGTAAAGCTCTTTGAATTCCATGAGCATTCTGAGGCTGACTACAGAAGCCTTCTTACTTCTCGGGAACAAAAATGTTTGAACGATGCCAAAGCTGAATATGAACGCCTCTACAAAGCGCCTCCAGAGAAAGACAGAGACTTGGTGCTGTACTTGGGGGACAACTTCGGCAACAGAAAAACATGGAGTGGAACCTCAAGGACATGTTTTTTCCCTGCCATTGGTTGGACCAGATGGATACAAATCATAAATTTGGATTCTGGGACATGGTTCATGAATCATCACCAAAGGGAAAATAAAATACAGCCCCACATGTGACCATCACCTTTTGCTGTTGACGGCAAAATACAATCTATGGAGCAGCAACTAGGAGGATTCCGACGTTCAGAACCGGAGGCGGATTGTTTTGGTGGTTCGCGCAGCAGCGATGGATGAGCCACCGTGAGAAGCTAGCCAGTTTGGGTTTTCCAGTCACCGCAGTATGGGAGTTCCTGAGCTCCCAATTAAGGACAGGTGCCGTGCAGCAGCTATCAGTGGAAACTCAATGAGTTTTGCCACAGCAGCAGTTGTTCAGCTGATCACGTTGGCTTGTTTCCAGAAGATTTCATAAAAACGAAATCTCAAATGTCAATGCTGGTCTGAAAAGGAAAACATAGCAGCCTTGATGTGAGCAAATTGATTGATGTGAGAAATACCATCTACAGACGCACATAATTTCTGTGGATTCACAGTTTTGCCACCATCAATCAGCTTCGGTCAAAATTAAGTATTCTAACCGAGTTTTTTTTTTAAAAGCATATGTATGAATAAGCCTTAATAGGCACTATTAGCGGATGGAGAGATCGTGCAGTGCTCACCTCTTGCAATTCTTCTTGGGCTGTCTGCAGCACGCCATATCATAGTAGCCAGTATCAATCATGGCGCCAAAAAAGCGGAGCAAAGGCTTCCCTACTGAGTTTTGCTTTGCAGACTTGAACTTTGGGACCATCCAGAATATCTTGGCCTATGCAGAACCTGATCTTGCATCTCATGAGATTACGGAGGGCTTCGACCTCAATACTTTGTGCCTTTTGATGTGCTTCATGCTGGGATGGCACCCGATGCACAAGCTTCCTGGGATACTTGGTTCATCTTGGTTGAAAATTTTCCTCCTTGCAAAATAAGGAAAATGCCGAAATTGCAAATCGGCTTCAAGCAAAATAACTGAGGACTCCGTCAAGCGAAGAGAAACTGACACAGGCAACTTGGACAATACGGTGTTTAGCAATACCAAATATTCTCAGCGTGGTGGTGTTTTTTGCAGGGTTTCACCATCACAGATCTGCACTCCAAATAGCTGCTAATAGTGACTAATAATGCCTTGCAAGGCAGCCCACTTGGAATATACTCGCCGTGGCAGACCTCTGAGAAAGGCATGGTGGGATATCAAAATGGTCGCATCTTTCATGGCCACGCACATGGAGGGAAAAGACGAAAACGATGACCTTGGTGCTCATGCTTCATGGTTTTCGCGTGAATATGAAGATGCACCAGCCCCCATGCCGGATTTCATCATGCAGCAGAAGGAGAAAAAATTCGAGGAACACAAAGAGATGCCACAGAAAGAGGCAGGATATGTTACAATGTTGTTATCTTTTCAAATAAAACGACAAAATAATAATTTCCCTGCCATGTCTGTTCGTAAACATATAAGTTGGCTGTCAATGACTGTCCCTCGCAAGGTCACGCCTTCCCTGCCTGATATGCACTTTGTGGTGGATGCTATTGATGACGTCTACACAGCACTATTTCCCAAACATGGATACGAAATAGAGGTGTGTGCTGGTGGTGAAATCAACCTTCATCACCCAGAAATTCCAGAGGAGTTGGCAATCATGTCAGAACCCCGGTGTTTTACATTCAGTTTCATCAGAAGAAACGACTGAGCGCTGACCAGATTTTTTTTTTGATGGCTGACGTTTGGTTTCTCAGGTTCATCCAAGATGACGAGGAAGATGAGTGGGCCATTTACCCCACCAGAGATGGCGATACATTATGGAATAGCAATGAGAACAAAGACTGCACACCCTCCTACCTTCAGGATGTCTTCGAAAATCTTCGAAATTCCATCCTGGCCAGAGATGAGACTCTTGAGAGGGCAAATCGCAAATCGAAGTTGAAGAAATGCTCCACAGATCAACCAGAATCTTCGAAGCGCATGAAAGTCATGGACTTAAGTGGCATTGTATTCAACTGAAGTTTGCAAAACCAAAATCGATGTAAATACAGCCTATTAGCCACTATTAGTCTAGTGAGTTGCGACTATTAGTCTATTGAGTTTGCTTATACATATACACACCAGAAACAACCTCGAATTTGTGTTTTTGTCAGGCTGAAATTGATATGTTCCTGCCTCTTGAATAAATTCAGATTTGACATCGTAATATTCAAGCGCTGGGTGATTTTCCATCCAATGCTCAGGTGACAGCAGGAACTCCTGAGATTGATCAGACTGACGTCGCAAAGAAGGACAGGGTCTTCCTTCATGAAAGCAAAGGAAAAATGTATGTGGCCCGCCCATTTGATTTGCTTCAAGTTGAGCTGGGGATCACGGATCCTATTCTGAATGTGGTTCACTATGTGGGCAAGACTTGTTCCAAAAACGTTGTAGTCATCGATTCCCGCAGCCACGCTGCTGGAATGAAACCAGTGTATGCACACCGGCTGTTCAAGAAGTCCTCTGCACCAGCCACTGGCACAATCTTGAAGAAATGCCACGAGTTTCCTATCCCTATTACTTTTACGTATGGTTTTACAGTTTTTGTAGGTCTCAGCAAATATAAAATATGTGAAGTTTTTTTTACAATGTTTATATTTTTTTAATAGGCACTATTAAGGCTTATTTAGTCATACTTGTTCATCATATGGGAATCTGAGGTTCCAGAAAGCATGGAGAATGACATGACAATCTTTCTGGCTACGCCCATACAGTGAGTGGCGATTAGTGACTCCATTTTGGCATCGAAGGGAGGAAATGGAAACAAAATAGCCCAGCAAAGAGTTTGGATCATTTAATTACGAAATTTTTTGTTCGCTCGCCGATGCCCGGTTTGATGGTGTAAGACCATCATCATGAGCATGAATGCCATGCACATTTTGGAATTATGTAAGCTTGCAGAGTGAGGAATATGAATATGTCAAGTTTCAGAGCGTGCGGCGTTTGGTTGTGTGATTTCTCTTCCTAGCAGCTTGCACAGACTGTGTGCAATGGTCACAGTTGCGTCCAGCAGCAGTGTCTCAATCAGATCAAATAGAAGGGAACTGAGGGGTGTCTCACTTCCGTGCGCTACAGCCATGAGCCTATCCAAGTGCTCACAGTACGGTGTTGTGTGCTTTGGCATCGTATCAGAAAAGCAAACCACTTTTTGTATGATTACAGCTTCCAAATATCCCGAACAAAAAAAACGTTCGATTCATGTGATCCCGACCACCACCTGACATGGATTCCAAAGGTATCTCTAGGATTCCATCTGACATTATTTATGGCATTTTTTTTGACATATACATCTGGCGCTCTATCTATGCGCGATCATGCCTGGCCGAGGTTTCCTGGTATGTCCGGTCCTGTCTCTACCAAGCTGGGTGACAAGCCGAAGGCAAAGGCAGCAGCCAAAAAAAGCGCTGCAGCTCCGAAGCGATTGGCTTCAGATCCTGGGGCCAGGAAAGTCTCAACCAAGAAGTACACTCAGAAGCATATCCAAGATGTGCCACTCTGTCATTTGAGAGAGTGGTTGGACAAGATGGATGGCGTCTATGCGAACCTTGAGGTTACCAAAAAATTCTCAAGGCAGGACGCACTGACGATGCTTTCCTTCGGGCTTGGCTTTCACCCCAGGGACCCACCAGTTGAGTCTGCACCTTAGTTTTCTTGTGCTCCGTCAATTGAATCACTGATTTGTAACTTTCTGTGTGGTGCATCCCAGAAGCTCAATAGGCCTTATTTGAGCTTATTTGCCTGTCCAGCCACCTCCTTGTTTTAATCTACCCAGGCGATTGCCGGACAACATGTTCAAAGTTTCCTGGCATTTGATCATTTGTATTTGTATGTTTTCCCAATATCTCTATATATAGTTTCAAGAAGTGAGTCTTTGAATCCTGAATATTCTAGTTGGGTATATATTCAGCAACTGAGACAGTGAAGATGGAATATCTTCGGAGGAGCCGCCCACTCCGGTTCACCAAATGGAGCATCACCGAAGTCTCACGGTGGATGAGGTATCATGTGCATGGAAAAGATCAAAATGAAGATTGCGGTGCCTTCGCGAAGTATTTCCAGCCTGGTGACAATGGGGGCCAATCTCCATTTCCAGCAGACATGCTCGCATGGGAAAAAAAACACCACAAGGTGTGCAGTGTGGTGTTTTTTCTGCCAAGAAACTAATTGGTGCTTGTCCATGAGTGGAAAATGTACGTCACAAAAACGCACGGGATGTCCGGAGTTCAAAAAACAAACATCTTCACAGGTTCATTAACACTGAAGTTGAAATGCAATAAGTAAGCACTATTAGCTGCTATTAGAGTGATACAATGTATATATGTTTAAGTTTTTCCATCTGAATTTTCATTGTTCAAGGGACATCTCCCTGTGCAGGAAGAGCATGAGGAGAAGCCAGTGCTGCATTCCCGACGTGCCATGATCAACGCGCTCATTTCCGTTGATGACTTTCCGACAACTGGCTACATCGGCAAGCGCAAAGGGGATAAGTTTGTGATCACCCACCCTGACCTGCCGCCACCATTGATTCTGGAGCCATAACCTTACTTTTGATCAATCAGTTCATGCAGGCAATTGACAAAAGTACATATTTTTTTTCTGACATGTGACACAGTAAGCAGAAAAAAATCTGAGGCTGCACTGTTCTGGAGATGACGAGTTTGAGATTTTTGTGACGAATGATGGTGACACTGTCTGGAATGGGAAGGAAACTGATCCTGAGAACGAGACAGACCCTGAATATGTGCATGAAACCCTGCAGAAGATGCAGGCTGAGGCTCAGAAAGAGGAGGATTCAGATGAAGAGGACGGAAATGATGAGCAGGATGAAGACGTGATGCCCATTCAAGATCGGGACTCTATGTTTGCAGCAGAGGTCCGAATTCCTGCGCTTCGGACTCAAGTAGCGTTGAATAAAACATGTGTCCTTCTTTGGGGAACCATCCCTCTTGCATTGTTCTACCCGAAGGACTAATAGGGCCTATTAGCAGCTATTTGTTCCATAGATTCTTGTGCATATATTTTTCCAGTCAACCACAAAACTTATCAAGGATGACGTTTCTGATGATTCTTCGGATGATGGAGTAGTCAAAGAGCCAGAGCCTGCTGATCCACTCAGCAACATCAAGGCTGAAGAGAAAGTCTTTCTTCACAAGATCGAGGGTTCTTGGTATATTGTGCGACCGGCAGACAACATGCATGTGGTGGCCAAGTATTCGGACCCTGTTCTTGCACAGATGAAACTCGGGGACAAGTGGGTGGTGATCGTGGATAGTGGATCAAAAGAAGCGGGTTCCAAGTCTCGCTATACTGAGACCCTTCTTGGGGGGAGAAGAGCCGAGGCAGTCACGGATTCAGTGCTTCTGCAGGAATGTCAGAAGTGAGATTCTTATTTGCTTTCCTGAGAAGACAGTTGTGCAAAAAGGTAGCAACTTACTTAAAATGATCCATGCACACAGCAAGCACGCAGTGTATCAGTGATTATTAGTAGCTATTAGAATCACAGCCTAGCCTCCATACTGAGGTACCGTGAAAAATGGTCTTTGCCACCATTGCGAAAGCGCACTGTGCCTGCTACGCCTTGCCAATCTCCATTGCAACCAAAAAAACGACAACATGCAGCTGATACTTTGAAGAAAGATGATGCCCTCACAGAGTCCAAGTCGCCTGAGGAGAAGGCCTGATGGTATCCATTCGAATCATGGATTGTTTTTCATCTCTGCATCAAGAACCACAAAATATCCGTTTTGAAGTATGGTCAGGCCACCTATTCATCTTGCAATCAAGCGTTATGTTTTCCATGCCAGGCAGAGGTTCCAGGAGCAGATAGTTTGGACAATTCGGAGACCAAAGCGGGGATCAAGGAGAAGCCAGCTGGGAATGGTGATGGAGAAGATTCCACAGCGGCTCCAAAGACTGAAGTGCCCAATTCAGCTGCAGGAGCAGAAGAATCAGACTGATCAGTTGGCTCTGTCTTGGCTGTGCATTGACGATCTTGGAAAGTGATTTTATGCCCAAAAGTTTCCGAAAACATTGTACATGGACATATTTCTGATATCGCTGTTTGTGTGATCAATTTGTAGTCAATCTGCACAGAGACTGCTGGCCTTCCTGTCGATGTGCAGGCGCATTTGCAGAAATCTGTAAACATCGCTCATTGTTTCCAAGTTTATTTGCATTTGATAGATTGAAAATGTTCTTGTTGTAAGAACCCACTGCAAAGTTTTGCTGCACAAGACATGTGAGACATCTGTTGCCATTGCTGCAGCTGGCCCTATCCCCAGCCGTGTCACAGCCGTATGACCATTTTGCTGGGGTCATCAATCTGACTGGCAGGCTATGTGATGGGCTATAAATAGAGCTTATTAGTCCCTATTTGTGCACAGGGAACATTATATATTTTTCTTCCGCTAGGTGTCTGCCAGTGACACATCAGCTGCCGGCAAAATTGCGAACATTGAGAAGATTGCGAACTTGATCAAAAATGTGGTGAAGTTTGTTTTGAAACGCTCAAAAACCACTGTACTGGGATTGAGAATATTGCCTTGTGCATATTCAGTCTTGCACTTATATACCAAGTTAGGAGCACCAAAATTGATTCCAACTGAAACAGCAACGTTCAACACCTTTCTCAGTATCTAATGGCTTTGGTTGTGTCAGTGTCTCTCCACCGAGATAAAACATCGCAGTTTCCGTTCCCAAAAAAACTTGCTCTTGCGATTGTCCAAAGAGATTTGCAGCAACCCATGGCGTCCCAAACGGTGTTGGAGAACTATTTCTTTCTCATGGTGAACGCGCCTTCTGACAGCAAGAAGAACCAGCCACCTCTCCGTGTGGCATCGGAGACTCGCAAGCGAAAACGCTGTGATTCAGACGATGGTGGAAATATCCAATGGCCGCAACTTGCCCAGCTAATTAAAATGATAAATCGTTTCATCTAGGAAACCACTTGCCCTATGACTCATATGACATAAACAAATGTTGTCCATGAATCAGTCAGAATAATCAAAATGAATTAGCCTTGCTGCATCCAGGCAGCTCAGCGAAGCAGAATTGGTCCATCAGCGCCGGCTCACTGACAATTTGTACAGCTCATTTTGGACAAACAAGTACCGTTAGTTTGGATAGAGGTGTAACATCTCAAATCTGGACATAGCTGCACACATAAGAGGTGCAGTTACCTTTGCTACAAGGATCAAAATACCTAAATAACCCTTAATAAGGGCTACGGCTAATAAAGCATACCGGATAAACAATGAGTATGGGGAAGAAATGTATGGCTGAATGATTGTCAGTTCACTTGGTTTAGAAACAGTCAGCTTTGCCAGATGGTGCACCATGATCTTTGCACAACTGCTTGTGTGTGTGTGTGTGTTGCAAACATTTTGCAATCAAGCTCGAAAAGTAAAGCTGCAGTTAGTGCAGCAATCATGGCAACCGCTGGAAATCAGTGTCAGCCACCTCATATGCGTCCTGAAGCAGCAGTGTGACTTTATTGCGCAATTCAGGAAGCTGTAGCCTCTTTTAAGTTCAAAGTTGTTCTGATCCAAAAAGGTGGGTTGTTTAATCTTCACGGATCTAAGGTGGCCGAATTTTGGCCGTGAGCTCACTCTTGGTCCAGAACGACCCGGACTGAAGAGGAAAACTTTGAATGAAACGCATTTGAAGATACTTCCAGCACAAAGGCGCCAAGCAGGTTTAGAGCGGAAAAGCATGTCAGTTCCTTGACTATTTTACCACGGATGTTTTGATACCAAACAAACATGTAACAGACAGAACTACCAAAAGAATAATATTTACCAATCAAAATCGATATTTCTTAATCCAACAACCCAAGGACCGATGCGATGGACACACTGCTTCGTCGGCCACGGATCCCCGAAGAGTGCCTTGAATGCCAATGGCGCTAGAAGTTTTCAGAAAACTTTCAGCACATACACACACACACATATATATATATTAGATATAAACATATATTTATATATATATACATATATCATTATTTGAATTCCGGAAAGCAACTTTCATTTTGATTTGTTTTTAGGATCGTAGTCACCACCCACCAACTCAACACAAGGATGGGCTCAAGTTATAAAATTGCCGTTTAAACTATCTAATGAATCAAACATCGGGAATGGCTGGGGTCCAACAATATGGTTTCACTTTGGCTGCAGCCAGGACGGCCGTGAGAGACGTGTTCGCCGCAGATCATCATCCAATCACTCAAGAGCACCTTGCATTTGTTGGTTGGCCTCATCCAGAAGCACAATTAGCAGCAAATAGCTGCTAATACCAGTTTTGGATCTACCGGTTTATTCAGTGAATACGCTTTTTGAAATCATCACAAAATCAAGGATTCAATCACTGACAAAAAGTGATTTCAATGAAATCGCAGGTTTCAATCATTTCTATAATTGGAATGATGATTGAGAAGCACAAGAAGCACAAGGCTACTTCTCAACCACAAAACAAAACAATAAGGGATGCAACAACCAAATACTTTCAATAGGATCATCCACCAATCAGACTCTGCACTGGGTTCACTACCCTAACCTGACCCCAGCCGTCGCCAAGGACCGCCGTGAGAGACGTGATCGCAGGAGAGCATCAGCCGCAGATCGCTCACGAGCGCCTTGCTAGCATTTTTCGGCTTCATCCAAAGGCACCATTAGCAGCAAATAGCTGCTAATAGCATATCTGGGTCTACTAATTAATCACTGAGAATATCTTTTGGATGACGGACCCTAACCAACATGCACTTTCGTATACAACCCAGGGTTTGAAGCAATAGAAAATTAATCATCTTTTTTTGTTCGGTAATTGTTCAATACCACCAAAAAAAGATTTCAACCACCCAAAAAAAGGGACAGGTTTCAACCAGTTGCCCCTGGAAGGCATTGGAATCATAGGGCTTCTCAACCACAAAGCACATTTAATAACGGATGCAATACCTAATTTTTTTCAATAATCCAATATTCAGGTTCTGCACTTGGTGTACTGCCTTAGTCTGACCTCAGCCGTAGCCAAGGATGGCCGTCAGAGACGTGATCGCCGCACAGCATCAGCCGCAGATCGCTCAAGAGCGCCTTGCTAGCATTTTTCCGGCTTCATCCAAAGGCACAATTAGCAGCAAATAGCTGCTAATAGCATGTTTGTGGTCTATAGGTTTCTTCACTGAATATATTTTTTTGATACCACCTAAAAAGGATTCAGCCACCGAAAAACCAGATTACAACGAAATCACAGGTTTCAACCATTTACTTCTTTAATTTATTAGCACCCTGGAAGGCATTGGAGTGACAATCACAGGGCTTCTCAGCCACAAAGCAAATTGAATAAGGGATGCAATACCAAAATATTTTAAACAGGATAATCCACTAATCAGGTTCTGCACTTAGTTCACTGCCTTAGTCTGACCTCAGCCGTAGCCAAGGATGGCCGTCAGAGACGTGATCGCCGCACAGCATCAGCCGCAGATCGCTCAAGAGCGCCTTGCTAGCATTTCTCGGCTTTATCCAAAGGCACAATTAGCAGCAAATAGCTGCTAATAGCATGTTTGTGGTCTATAGGTTTCTTCAGTGAACACATTTTTTTTGATACCACCTAAAAAAAATCAGCCACCGAAAAAAGAGATTACAACGAAATCGCAGGTTTCAACCATTTACTCATTTAATCTGTTAGCACCCTAGAAGGCATTGGAGTGGTAATCACAAGGCTTCTTCAGCCACAAAGCAAATGTATTAAGGGATGCAATATCTATATACTATATTTTCAATAGGATAATCCACTAATCAAATTCTGCACTTGGTGTACTGCCTTAGTCTGACCTCAGCCGTAGCCAAGGATGGCCGTCAGAGACGTGATCACCGCACAGCATCAGCCGCAGATCGCTCAAGAGCGCCTTGCTAGCATTTTTCGGCTTCATCCAAAGGCACAATTAGCAGCAAATAGCTGCTAATAGCATGTTTGTGGTCTATAGGTTTCTTCACTGAATATATTTTTTTGATACCACCTAAAAGGATTCAGCCACCGAAAAACGAGATTATGACGAAATCGCAGGTTTCAACCATTTACTTCTTTAATTTATTAGCACCCTGCAAGGCATTGGAATCACAGGGGTTCAGGATGCAATACCAAAAAAAAGAAAAACATTAATGGATAATCCACTGATCAGTTCTGCACTTGTTTCACTACCCTAGTGTGACCTCAGCTGCAGCTGAGGATGGCCATGAGAGACGTGATCAGGGTCATGCAGCATCAGCCGCAGATCGCTCAAGAGTGCCTTAGATGCTTTTTGTTTGCTAATATATGTTTGTTTCATAATCAGCCTAATTTGCACCAAATAGCTGATAATAAGCTTTCTGAAGTTCCCTTATCAGTTCAGCCAATGCCACAAAATGCAACCTCCCTCACTGCAAAGAGTGGAACAGCTTCAAAACCCGTTAATCATCAAGAGCTGTCTGTGGAACACAAAAAAAATCCAAGACCCATCCTTTCCTCCTTGACTTCCAGGATCCTGGTCCCCATCATATTTATTATTGCTTCACTTTTCCTCTGACTCCGGCTCACCCCGTCCTCCCTGGCTTGCAGGCTCCTGGTAGCCCCACCCTCCTGGCTTCCAAAAACAAGCTCCTGGAGCCTCTCATGCTTATTTGTGCTTATTTGTGTTTATTTGGCTCTCAAAACATAATTTTTCTCTTCTCCCCTGCCTCTGGCTCACCCCGTCCTCCCTGGCTTGCGGGCTCCTGGAGCCTCTCGCACCACCCTCCTGGCTTCTATATACAAGCTCCTGGAGCCTCTCATGCTTATTTGTGCTTATTTGTGCTTATTTGTGCTAATTTGTGATATGGATATGTCAAAATTGCACATATTTGCTGAATACTTGATATTTTGAAAAAAATAATTTCTTTCAATAAATTATATCCACAATCAGTTCTAAAACATTCAGTGGATCAGTTTAAAGGTATTGGAATGAAAATTTATTTTTTTTTATATATTTTTGTTTTAAAAAAAGTTTTGTTTCAATAATTTATATCCACAATCAGTTCTAAAACATTCAGTGGATCAGTTTAAAGGTATTGGAATGATTTCTTTTTTATTTTTGTTTTAAAACAAGTTTTGTTTCAATAAATTGTATCCACAATCAGCAGGAAATGGGGAGACACAACGGAGAAAATCAATGGGGAAAATGATGCAAAATGAGAAATGTCACTTTTATGGTTTGTAAAGCAGAAAAACTTGCTTTTGTAAGATATGGAAATTTATAGTGTAACAAATTTGTTTAAACCTGATTTTGGGCATAATTTATGGATAGAAATTTGTTTTTTGAATATATTTTGACAAAACAAAATAAAAAAAAGTAAAAATTTCATTCCAATACCTTCAAAATGAACCAGTGAGATCAGGTCCCCGAGATCCGAATTAGGCAAAAAACGGGCAAAATGACTAATAACACATAATAGGTCCTATTAGGCTTTCAGAGTAATGACCAAAAGATTAGATGAACAAAAGATTAGTCTGAACTAATAAGAACTAATAAGAACTAATAAGAACTAATAAGATTCCTTAGGAAACTAATAGGAACTAATAAGATCTAATAAGAACTACTGGGTACTGATGAGTTGGGACTGAGCCCAGGCTGGGGCTCTGGGCTGGTGGATTGGAGTGTTGGGTACAACCTGGGAGTGAGGGGATTGTTGGGTGGGGGGTGGGCCAGGCTATGCAAGGCATAGCCTATTAGGCACTAATAAGCACTAATAGCAGGGTCATAGCTGCTCACCTGGTGGTTGTGCCCAGCTCTTGCTACAAGCTAGCCAGCTCAGCCTCACCTTCTAGTCCAAGTTCAAGGAGCTATTGCTGTTATTAGTGCCCAATAGGGCTTGCTTAGCCTAGCCTGGCCCAGCACCCCCGCCACCCTCCACACTCTCAGCTCCATCGCCTTCCACCGACATCCATCACCCAGAAGGAATACATAAAATGCTGGCAAATCACCATCATTCCGAATAAGCACTAATAAGCACTAATAATGACTGGATGCTTAGGCTGTTCATCAGATAATTGCTTGCCAAAAATTCTAGGAAAAACCTAGGTTCTAGGTAATAGAAAATTCCACAATTCCCCAGCAACTTTCGCAATCCCATAGCAAATTCTTATTTCCCATGGCAGGGCCATAGCTGAGAGGTGGGAGTGAGCTATGTAGCGATCACTAGGCCCAACCACATGCCCAGCACCCCCACTACCCTCCCCACTCCCACCTCAATACCCTTCTACCTCCCAGCCCTCCACCAATCCAGCAGCCCAGCCCTGCCCTCTCACCTGGTGGTTGCGCCCAGCTCCTGCCAGGCAAATTTAGGCATGTTTTGCAATGTTCGGCTATTTTGGCAAATTTCACAATTTTTCGCAAATTTTGAGAATTTTGCTAATTTGGCTCAAATTTTAAGAGATTTCGCAAGCAAATTTGGCAGTTTTGCAAAATTTGCCTTTTTCGCCGATTTTCGCAAATTGAACCATTTTTGGGCCATTTTGGCAAATTTGATAACTTTTGCAAATTTAATTAAGCATTTTGTGCAATTTTGGGATAATTTTTGGCGAATTTGGTAATTTTTGGCAAATTTCTCATACGAAATGATTTTTTTTCGGTACGAAAAGATGATTTCTCAGTACGAAATGATGATTTCTCAGTACGAAACGATAATTGGCAATTTTAAGCATTTTTTGCAATTTTCGGCTATTTTGGCAAATTTGGCTCTTTTTGGGAAAATTGGAAATTTGGCAACTTTTGGGCAAATTTTAACGTAATCTTGCAATCAAATTTGGCAGCTTTTGCAAAATTCGGCTGTTTTTTGGCAAATTTGGCAATTTTTAGTAAATTTGGTGACTTTTGCCGATTTTGGCAAATTGAAGCATTTTTGGTTAATTTTGGCAAATTTAGGCATTTTCTGCAATTTTCGACTATTTTGACAAATTTCACAATTTTTGGTAAATTTGGCAATTTCTGGCAAATTTTGAGAATTTTGCTAATTTGGCTCAATTCGCAAGCCAATTTGGCAGTTTTGCAAAATTTGCATTTTTTGCCGATTTTGGCAAATTGAACTAGCTAGCCAGCTCAGCCCCACCTCCCAGTCCAAGCCCAAGGAGCTATTACTGCTTATTAGTGCCCAGTAAGGCTTGTTTAGCTTAGGCTGGGAGCTCAATACCCTTCTACCTCCCAGCCGTCCACCAATCCAGCAGCCCAGGAGGGAAACAAAACAAAAAAAGACACATAGTGTTATTTGTGCTTATTTGGCTCTCAAAACGTAGTATTTCTCTTCTCCCCTGCCTCTGGCTCACCCCGTCCTCCCTGGCTTGCGGGCTCCTGGAGCCTCTCGCACCACCCTCCTGGCTTCTATATACAAGCTCCTGGAGCCTCTCATGCTTATTTGTGCTTATTTGTGCTTATTTGTGCTTATTTGGCTCTCAAAACATAATATTTCTCTTCTCCCCTGCCTCTGGCTCACCCCGTCCTCCCTGGCTTGCGGGCTCCTGGAGCCTCTCGCACCACCCTCCTGGCTTCTGTACAAGCTCCTGGAGCCTGTCATGCTTATGTGTGCTTATTTGTGCTAATTCGTGCTTATTTGTACTTATTTGGCTATCAAAACACAATATTTCTCTTCTCCCCTGCCTCTGGCTCACCCCATCCTCCCTAGCTTGCGGGCTCCTGGAGCCTCTGGCCCCGCCCTCCTTGGCTACTCCCTGGCATACAAGCTCCTGGGGCCTGGCTTAGGGGTAGCTGTTAATGCCTTTTTGTGTCTATTTCGCTCTTCCCAAATCTTGCTCTCCCCATCCCAGCTAGATTGCTGGATCCTGGAGCCTCTGATGCTTATTAATGCTTATTTGTGCCTATTTGGTGTTTTTTTGAGCCAGCTCACATAAGGTGCCTGCACCAGTTCACAGTGATGCTGCTGATGGTGGTTTTCGTGGCAGCCAGCTAACCGCAGGTACTGGTTCAGTACCATGTAATGGCTTTAGTACTTGTTTATACTGTTTATTGTTTGAAATTGTTGTTATTAATGGCCAAATGCTTGTTGGGATTATGTTTTTTCAAGTGATGAATTAGTAAGGCTATGGGCACACCACCACCACCACCACGTCGTTCCTCTCCTCGCTGTGAATCTCATGGAGTAGATGGGAAAATTGAAGATCTACCGCCTGCTCAACGCCTTGTCCTACACAGGGAAGGAAAGCGATGGTTCATCCTTCGCCCCAGTGATGGCAAAATGGCATTCCTTGGGTTTCCGAATCCAGTGCTTGTGGTGCGGACCAAAGACAATGTCTATGGTGTATGGGAAGCCTACGTCTATCAACGTGGCTGCATAGAGAGGCTTGCCAAGTGCCACGTAGCTTCGGAATTTCTTTCCAGAGACTATGCCTTCACAGTTCGTGGAAATGGAACTGATGCCCAACTTGCTCGGAGGCACGGGTTCAAAAAAAGTTTGCACCACCAAAGAGCATATTGAATCTGGACATTTTCAATCATATAAGCGGTTGTGTTTGCACAGGATGCGCCTTCGATGGCACCTACCAGAGCCATAATTAGGCACCTGTGACCATGGCCTCGAGTCACCGAGAGCTTCCTGCTATCAGAGGTTGCATTTCTCTGTATATAGCTTTTGGAAAGATTGTGATGTAAACCTTCACAGTTCAACTGGCGTCTGGCATCACACTGTGACTGTGATGTGCGAATGCAACGCTGAGAAGAAAAAACAAGTAGCGAACAGCGTATGAGCCTGCTGAGACTGAATCTGTTCTGCGTCTTTTGCTCACATGAGATGCCCCTTTTCTTCATCTTCAGTCCATATCACACATATTAACCGTTGTTGCGGTTAAAATTGAAACTGCCTAGGCCTTGACCAGACGGATCGCTGAAGTTCTGAACGGCTCCAGTGTGATGAGGCTGTTTTGATTGTTTTCAAACATTTCTTGCATGATATCTGTTCATTTCTATTTGTTTTTATGTGGTTGTTATCAGTCTCTATTAGGCCTTATTAGTGCTTTCTGTTTCTCTATCAACTCCAGGCCATTGATTCAGAGCTCTGAGTGCAAAGCTTACTACGTTGTCCTGAAGTTTCTGAACCACCTCTTCAATTCTTTTGGTGGCACCAATTGGCTGTTCTTCATTCCAGAGGAAGAGGACCGGCTGAGATTTGGCGGCGACTTGGAGAAAGCAAAGCTTCCACCCGTTGAAGGCTTGCCAATCCTGAAGCTAGTGGCCTGCTTGCATATTTGCAAAATATTGCAAAACATTTGTTTGAATTCGGCAAGCCGACCTTACTATTACACCAGCTGGTGGTTGCCAATCAAACCAGTATTCTAAATGTCCAAAAGTATTTTGCGGCTTGCCATCAGCCATTTGTTTCCGCACAGGTGACTGATGGAGAAACCGTACAAAATAAAGCCTTTGAGTACGCATTCGGGGTATTGCATGCAAGAGGATTTGCAGACCAAGAGGATGCACATAGCAAGTGGAATTGCTTCAAAAAAGCAGTATCACGTTCAAATTTGAGCATGGCACTACTGCGTCTTACTTTGATCTGCAATTTGAGCAGCATCAACAATTTTACTTTTGTAATTTCTGACGCTGTGTTTCGGATTTCCAAAAATGAACATCTTGGCAGTATTTTCAAATTTTCTTACGCTCATTTGATTGTGAGGCAACTTTAACCATGGAGCGTACCAGGGCGGAGACAAGCTCCACATGAAGATGGAGTCTGTCAAAGCATGGCTGGAGCAGCAGGATGCTGAATTCTTCGCTTCCATATCAGAATCCATTGCCCGTGACCGTGGCATTGACTTTGACACTGACATGGTCTATGCCAGCTTCGAAACCTGGATGGAAGCCAAAATTATCAAGAACAGGGGGCATTTTGCAGCTCACCAAAATTGTTAATTTTTGCTTTCTGCTTCTGATTGTGGCAGCCTATTACTGGTCAAATAGTAAGCCAAAGAAGTTTTCAATTGGATCACTGCTGGTAAGGTAAAGAACAAAATGTGGTTTGGAGCTCAACAGGCATTTCGAGCCCTTCTGGCTGACTGGACCATACAAACAGTCGCAGTGGATTCAATGTTGGATTTTGTTTGGGAGGCACACTTTTCAAAAATATGTTTTAGGTGACAAAGAATTTGCCAAATAAGCCTTAATAGTGGTTATTAGATCGATTCCTTACATTTGTTCCCTGGCAGGATGAGAAAAAAAATCGAACTGATGAAGCACAAGAGAAAACAGATATGGTGGGGGAAGAGGAGCCGAACTATGTTCATGAGGAGCCGTACACCACAAAGACTGAGCTGTACAAGTATTTCGCAGGGAAGGCACCCACTCAGATGATCAGCAGTTTTTTGCATGATGAACGGAACCATGGATTTGCAGTGATTCTGTGCGATCTATCACAGCCGTTGGAATCAGAATACACTTCCAACCAGGGTGAAATGTCATCAGGGCCAGAGGACGCACTTCTTTGGGCTGCAAAGAGGGCTGCAGGATCCTGGTTTCAAATGGTCATTCAGATCGCAGAGATTTTGCAAAGCGTTCAATTTTCGAGGCATTTGCGGCTGACTCTACCAGCTTTCACCCCATTAGCTGATGCACCAGATTGGCTGAAGATCGAATTTCAGCTCCTCAATGCTGCCTGGGACTTTGCATTGCATTTGATGTCAACGATTTTGTGGACGAACATGATGCATACATACCGACTTCCACATGCCACAGCAATCTACCTTCTTCCTGAAAGCGAACAGCGGGATGAGACATTGGCACGTGTCAAAGCAATGGTGGCAACCTTGCTGAAAGTTACTTGCAATGATGGAATATATGTGTTGTTTTTTGAATTTTCTCCCATATGATTATATGATTTGTATTTTTTGAGTTTGGAGCCCTAATGGGCCCTATTAACCCTTAATAGGTAATAGAGTGCCAGGTTTTCCATTTTCATTTTCGATTTTCAATTTTTAAAAATTTTATACACTGGAGGCTGAGCAGCTCTATGTGTCAGACAAAGTTGGCCACCTTTTCCTTGGGAAATGTCTCAAAGATATTGGATGGAATTTCCACCAGCTCCCAAGAGAAATCATGGGGTTTATGGTGCAGGGTCTTGATGAATCATTGATGGCGCTCCTTCACAAGATGTACCTGGGACCATCCACCACAAAGGAGATCTGTGAAAGCACATTTAGCTGGCTACATTTCAAAGTGCAAAGTACATCTCGAAATTCGGTGATGAGTGATTGGAGCAAGTACGTATATTGCATTCTGAGTCCCTACACAGCTGCCTCTGGCATGAATCAGTTGCTTCCGGATGAGGATGACTGGCACATCATAACTTCAGAAGCAGGGAAGCAATTCAGATCATCTGCCAGCAGGTTCATGTCTATCCAAGCGTTTTTGATGCCTGAAGATGTTCCAGGTCTGGATGCCAAGGGGATTGACAAGACTTGGAGTAAGGCTGGTGTCCTGAGCGATGAGCGCTGTATTGCTGCTATGGCATACATACTGGAAGAAGAGATCAACAACTGGAAGCACATTGCAACACACTGGGCAGGCATGATTTGAGATTATTTTTCCATTAATTTTCCTGCAATTTTTAAGGGGCAATGTTTGTTAACATTTGTTGAATTTATTGTTCCAAAATCGTCTGCTCATTGCAGTAAATAGAAACTGTGCAGGCTCATTGCTGGTTCATGGAGAGGTATACCACAACAAGCTGACGAAATCCTTTCTTCTGGCAATGGGCTTTCGAACGTGGTGCTCCTTGGGATTGGAGATGGAGAAAATTGCATTGGATGAGAAGGTACGCAGACGCAAGCCAATCTTTTTGGCTTTTGGTTCACCTTAACAGGCACTAATAAGTGCTAATAACAAGTGTTGGTGTAACGTTAAGATTTTCACAATGAAATTCATGTCACTGTGTGACTGTGTGTTCCATGCCTTTCTGAATTTTAACAGATTTTCTGGTTGCCTGCTGTTGGTCTGTACGTTTTTGTTCTCCGGCATTTCTTTCTCTTGACGTCCTTGCAGGAATACCTCATTCTGAAACCTCAACGTCCTGTTCCGATGACAAACCACCATTTTGACTCCAGCAGTCCCTGGCAACACGTTGTGGTAAAGCGGACGTTGCCAGCTATGTTGGACATCAATCTGGGGCTTGGGACAGCGATGGAAATTCTTCAACAAGGTGATGATCAGGATGAGTATGGATTGCTCAAGGCAGCTATTCGAGCAAAAGTCTTTCTTCTTGCAGAGAATTTGAAGACAATCAATGCGAAACTTGGCGTAAAGCTGCCGCAATTCCCGAACGGATCTGGGGTGAAAGGCTCAGTTATCAAAGAAGATCATGCTCGAGCCCTGGTCCGCTTCTTGTTTTCTACAGAAGATGAGCAGACCCAAGAAGAGCTAGTGAAAGCACTTGCGCCCCCACCGAAGAAAAAGAAAGAATGTGTGAGTGCTGATGTTGATGAGGACAGCAAAGTTTTGGGTATGATCGCCCAGCTTGACCCGGAGAATGCTCAAGCGTTTGAAAAAATGGCCTCACTTGCCAAAGAACACCTTGCAGAGATGTACCGAAATGAGGGCGCAGAGGAATTGAAGAAACATGTGAGGCATGCACTGGAAAAAGAAGGCATGGAGATAGATTTTCAAGCAAAAGGAGACATCAAGGTGAAACGGAGAAAGGTATCTGACGCAGGAGATGAGGGCAAGTCTCTGGAGACAATGGCAGCTTGATTGCTCTTAATAAGTGCTAATAAGCATTTTGTATTATTTTGTCATATTTTGTCACTGTGAAATGTATGTCTGAAATACATGTATTAAACTGGGTGGTGTGCTGTGGCCCAATTAAAAAACCAAATTCTTCATCCATTGCGTCTTCAGGAACCAGAAGAGTTGGCTGCTCTCAAGAGGGAAACCCTCGCTCGAGGGAAGGCCCTTCCAGATGCTTCTGATGGTGATGGACAAGAGGCCGCTCCAAAATCCAATGCACGGTCAGCATCAGATCATCCAGAAGCTGATGCAACTGCTAAAAAGGCTCGAACGGCAACTACTCCGCCAACGCTAAAGAATCTTTTGCCAAATCAGGGCAAATCAAGCAAAGAGGTGTGGATTCTAAGGAATCCAAAGACATTTGGATATCAGATTCGATATCCGACCGGTTCTTGGGAAGGATTTGGAGATGATTTTTACCTCCTATGCCAAAATAGCAATTGAACGTATTTGTGCCGTAACTTTTGAAATTCTGTCACCCCATGGAACTCACTGGTTACAAGTAACGTTCCTTTCTAGACGGAATTACCATACCAATGCTGAATTATTGTGTTACCATCCCACAAACGGCAATGTATTGATTTTTTGCACTCTTTGACATGAGGTGATGGCGTGGGCCAGCAATCCATGAGCAGGAAGTGGCCTACAAGTTCAAATCCAGATGAAGCATCAGCTTTGGTAATGTGCTTGCATTTTGCTTTTGCAAGGTGGAACAAAAACCACCCTGAACAACATGAGGAGCGTCCACATATTTTCGTCATCCATGACTTTCTCAAGACCCTGAAGGGTGATGCATCTTGGCTACCAAAAAATAGGTTGATGTCGTTGCTTTGATGTTTCTTGTGATCTTTTTGTGTGCACTATTCAACACTGGGCAGCTGATTTTTTTTGTTTCTGTTGCTTCATACCAGATTCATCCAGAGTGAAACTGATATCAGAAATTCATTATGTTTTTTATTGAAATTAGGTGTGCGAAGCATTGGACCACCTCAGTACGTTTTTTCGTTTCATAGCTGAGGAGATCATCGATACAAGACATTGATGGCTGGATGGGGATGACTACGCGCGGCCTCCATAAAACATGGAGGGCCGGGAGCGCACCACTGATGTTCTGCATCAAAGCCACATGCGCAAAAAAAACAGAACCAGTCAACTTGCAGGGATCATTCCACCACCTAGTATCAGTGGGAGAAAAGCCGAAGCAATTTCATTGACAATAATAAGGTGCTTACAGATCCAATATAAGCACTAATAAGAGCTAATAATAAGTATGAGATATCATACACGTGCATGTACATGTTGTCCATGATTTTATCACCATATCTTGGACTCGATGATGCTATTTAAGGACCTTGGTGATGCTTATAATACTCATTTGGTTGTACAACACTTGATGGAAAACGGGCATGATATCTGACATGTGGGAAAGTTGCGCAGGCAGGTTGTGTTAAACCTGATTCATGTTCTCACCCATACCGGTGAAAACAAAAGACGGTTGCTGCTCAACAAAAATGGTATAGCAAAAGTCCACAGCAGCAAAACTCTCTATAATCAACCACATCCTTGTTGGACTACCTAGTATGTTTAGCTATTAGTTGCTATTAGGCTATATTATGTTTGTTTTGCATGACATCAGGTGCCACCTTCTTGTTACTTGTTTCTTCTTTGCTACCCCATTCCCCTGAAACCAGCCACAGGGCATTGATAGGATGCTCAATATACGCACCAACATCTAATAAGTATTAATCATAAAAATATGTTTTCAGAAGCAGAGGCTGGATGGGGTAGAGACAGGAGGCAGTGGCAGAAGTAGGTCCAGAGGAGCAAATATTCATATGGAAGAATTTCCAGGTCAGTCTGAGGTGCAGGCACTGACATTACTAGGCACTAATAGGAATTATTAAGTACTAGTAGGCATCTTTTTTTTCATAGAAATTTGTTTCCACAATTGACGGGTGAGGCAGGCCAGAAGGATTGGAGGCGGGGGTGATTGGAGGCTGGGCCTGGAGGGAAAGCAGGGGCAGCGGAGGTAGGTGGTAATCTAGGAGGCAGGCACGTAAAAAAAAATAATAGATAGGCTAACGCTGACCCCAAACCTTAACTAGGCACTAATAGGCACTAATAGGTACTCATAGGCACAGCTAGGCATTGGAACTGAAGGCCGGATGCAAGAAGCAGATGCTAGAAGAGGCAGAGGGTTGGAGGGTGGCCTTCAGGGGTGAAGGGAAAAATGCGAAAATGTCTACAGCAAAATTTTCTGCAAATTTCCCGGGGCGCAAATGTCATTTTTCCAGCAATTTTCACTGGCATATTTCCCAGGCAAATTCACCAGCAAATTCCTGGGCAACCCTTGCAAATTCCCTGGTAATCTCAGCAAATTCCTAGCAAATGGTAAATCCTACCAGGCAAATTTTCCCGGCAAAATTCCTGGCAAATTACATCACAAATTTCCTGACAAAGGCAAATTTCCCAGCAAATCCCCTGAGATTTTTTTGTGACAAATTTCCTCAGCAAATTCACAGGCAAAGTTCCTTGATTTTTTTTCTCGCAAATCTGTGGGCAAATTCACCACCAAATCCACCCTGGCAAATGCAAATTTTCCCTAGCAATTTGCGCAGCAAATCGCCTGGACAATTTCTCAGCAAATTCCTGGGCGGGAAACCTGGAAATTTGGCGGGAAACTTGGAAATTTGGCGGGAAACCTGGAAATTTGGCGGGAAACCTGGAAATTTGGCGGGAAACCTGGAAATTTGGCAGGAAACCTGGAAATTTGGCAGGAAACCTGGAAATTTGGCGGGAAACCTGGAAATTTGACGGGAAACCTGGAAATTTGACGGGAAACCTGGAAATTTGGCGGGAAACCTGGAAATTTGGCGGGAAACCTGGAAATTTGGCGGGGCGGGAAACCTGGAAATTTGGCGGGAAACCTGGAAATTTGGCGGGAAACTTGGAAATTTGGCGGGAAACCTAGAAATTTGGCGGGAAACCTGGAAATTTGGCGGGAAACCTGGACATTTGGCGGGGAACCTAAAAATTTGGTGGGAAACATGGAAATTTGGCGGGAAATTTGGAAATTTGACGGGAAACCTGGAAATTTGGCGGGAAACCTCGAAATTTGGCGGGAAACCTGGAAATTTGGCGGGAAACCTGGAAATTTGACGGGAAACCTGGAAATTTGGCGGGAAACCTGGAAATTTGAACATGGAAATTTGGCGGGAAACCTGGAAATTTGACGGGAAACCTGGAAATTTGGCGGGGAACTTAAAAATTTGGTGGGAAACATGGAAATTTGGCGGGAAATTTGGAAATTTGACGGGAAACCTGGAAATTTGGCGGGAAACCTGGAAATTTGACGGGAAACCTGGAAATTTGGCGGGAAACCTGGAAATTTGGGGGGAAACCTGGAAATTTGGCGGGAAACCTGGAAATTTGGCGGGAAACCGGGAAACTTGGGGAAACCCTGGAAATTTGACGGGAAACCTGGAAATTTGGCGGGAAACCTGGAAATTTGGCGGGAAACCCTGGAAATTTGGCGGGAAACCTGGAAATTTGACGGGAAACCTGGAAATTTGGCGGGAAACTGGAAATTTGGCGGGAAACCTGGAAATTTGGCGGGAAACCTAGAAATTTGGCGGGAAACCTGGAAATTTGGCGGGAAACCTGGAAATTTGGCGGGAAACCTGGAAATTTGGCGGGAAACCTGGAAATTTGGCGGGAAACCTGGAAATTTGGCGGGAAACCTGGAAATTTGCAAATTCCATCACAAATTTCCGGCAATTTTTGTTGGCAAGCAAATTTCCTAAGTGTCCAGTCATTATTATTAGTGCTTATTAGTGCTTATTCGTCATGATGGGGATTTGCCAGCATTTTATGTGTTCCTAGGTAGCAGGAGCTGAGGTGGGGAGGCAGGAGCTGGGCACAACCACCAGGTGAGAGAGCACTAGAGGCACCTGGAAGCCAGGATGGGAAGAATGGAGGGATGCAAAGGGCAGATTTTGCAGGAATGAACACATAAAATGCTGGTAGATTCCTATGATGCCAAATAAGCACTAATAAGCAGTAATAATCAGAAATAAGGGCTAGAGGCCCTCCTGTGGCAGGTTTCCCCAGGCAAAATTCCCGGTCAGCAAATTCATGGCAGAATTTCCTGGCAAATTCTTTGGCAAATTGCCCAACTGGCAAATTCCTGTAGAAGCAATATTCAGTCACTGACATGCACTAGTAGGCACTAATAGGCACTAATAGGGTGGAGGAGGTAGTGGGCACAAATAGGAACTAATAGGTGTTAATATTATAGGTAATGCATTTGAGGGTGGGCACTAGGCACTGATGGGTTGGAGGCAATTTTCGCAATCCCATAGCAAATTCCTATTTCCCCATCAAATTCCCACGCAATTTTCCCGGCAATTTCCCTAGCAAACTTCCGTAGCAAATTTCCGTATCAAATTCCTCTTGCCTTAAATTGCCTTATTCGAAATTATAATATTGCCTTATTTGAAAATTAGCTTTATCCCAAAGTTGCTGGTTTGAAATCCCGATATTGCCTTATTTGAAATTATGATATTGCCTTATTTGAAAATCAGCTTTATCCCAAAGTTGCTGTTTTGAAATCCCGATATTGCCTTATTTGAAATTATAATATTGCCTTATTTGAAAATCACCTTTATCCCAAAGTTGTGGTTTTGAAATCCCGATATTGCCTTATTTGAAATGATAATATTGCCTTATTTGAAAATCACCTTTATCCCAAAGTTGTGGTTTTGAAAGCATCACATTGTCTGTTTTGAAACCGTCATATTGCCTTATTTGAACCCGTGATATTGCCTTATTTGAAAAAGCAATATTGCCTTATTTGGATGCATAAGGGTCATTAAAAATTAGGGTGTCTTATTTGTATCCTAATAAGCCTGAATAGTAACTATTAAGAGCCTTCTTATTAGCAGCTAATAGCAGCTAATAGCAGCTATTAGCAGCTATTAGCAGCTATTTGAAAATCATAGCAAATTCCTACACTGGGGGGTGGTTCGACTGGGTTGTAGTTCGGTAACCCCTGATTATACGTAATACGGTTTATCGGACTGCGGTGAAGATTGATCTGCTGGAGAAAACGTTCAAGGATATCGATCATGATGCATGTCCGGTAATCGGAATGGTCATCAGACTTGAAACTTCGCTGTGCGAAAAGGTTGCCATCTCCAGACAAAAAGTCACATTGATGCTCAATACAACTGGCAATGAAGCTAAGCCACTTCTGGCATGTCTCCTGATAAGCGCCACTCCAGGTATATGACGAGATGTGAAAAACCGCTACACGGCATTCGGCCAACATAAGACGTCGTACGTCGTGTGTGTCAGCACCAAGATTCACTTCGCAGACTTCCACGCCGGAAACGGCAAGATCATCGTCTCCGTCAATCTCGCAAATCGAGTGGTCTTGAAAATCT